TGGAGAGCCATGAAGTGGGGCTGTGGCTCAGTGGCAGAGCCTCTGCTTGGCATGCAGAAGGTCCCAGGTTCAATCCCCGGCATCTCCAGTTAAAAGGACCAGGCAGGAGGGGATGGGAAAGACCTCCGCCTGAGACCCTGGAGAGCCATGAAGTGGGGCTGTGGCTCAGTGGCAGAGCCTCTGCTTGGCATGCAGAAGGTCCCAGGTTCAATCCCTGGCTGCTCCAATTAAAAGGACCAGGCAGGAGGGGATGGGAAAGACCTCCGCCAGAGACCCTGGAGAGCGACTGCTGGTCTGAGCAGACAGTACTGACTATGAGGGAGTCCCAAGGGTCTGATTCAGTACAAGGCAGCTGTTTGCGTTCACCATCTTGTATTTTGCAGGGAAGCCTTTATAGCAGAAAGAAATAATATTCCCAGATGGAGGGCGGTGCATTACAGAATTTGTATTACAGCACTTTGTAGAGTGATGATGGACTTCATCAGTGTGTGATGGAAATCTAAGAGCCCATCTTGACAGGATGGGGGGTGGGGGTGTCTGTGATCCCACCTGTATTTATGCACAAATCCTTCATAGATTTGAGCAGGGCTTTTTTTGGTAGAAAAAGCCCAGCAGGAACTCATTAGCATAATAGGCCACACCCCTGACAGCACAGCTCATTAGCATATTAGGCCGCACCCCCATGTTACCAGAAGTGTGGTCATCCGGCCACACCCACCTTTTGCTTCTTATTCTGTTTACCTTGTTTGTTGTCAAAACCCAGGGCCGTTTTTTGTAGCAGGGACTCCTTTGCATGTTAGACAACCTTGTTTGTTGTCAAAACCCAGGGCCGTTTTTCTGCTGTTGGGTGTGGCCTATTATGCTAATGGGTTCCTGCTGGGTGTGGCCAACTCAGGAGCCAGCCGGAACTCCATTCCTGTGCGTTCCTGCCCAGAAATAGCCCTGGATTTGAGAATGTGGGGTGGACTGTTCTTAGCAAAACCGGAGTGTGCGGGCGAGGGAAACGAAGCCCTGCCCCTTCCACCCTCCTGATTTCACCGTCTTCCTTTGCTTTCGACCTTTTTCTTCCAACCTGGCTTTGATATCGGAAGTGAACCAGGCTTGGAGAAAAAGACCTGGAAGCCGACAGAAGCAGCAGCAGGGTTTCAGCTTCCCACACCTGATTTTGCTTTGTCTGTCTTTAAAACACAAGACCCGTTTCTCGCATCAGATGGGAAGGGGTGGACAGTTGGACCGCCCCTACTGTTTGAGGTCAGACTCATGGGCCTGGCCTCTACAATCCTGGATCCGAGCTATCCGAGCCTTCCACCCCCACTTACACAACAGAGTAAGTCCATTGGGACTTTCTTCCCTCCTCTCCCCTCTTTACAGGTTGGGGTGTGGTACTCCAACAGGACTCTTGCGATGAATGCCACGACGTTGGACATCAACATCTCAGAGAGCCTCGTGAACAAGACTCTGGTAGTCACCACCATTTTGGTAAGTATCTTCCTTCTCTTTAGGCTTTCTATAGGTTTGGGGGATCCTGAGACGTGTCTTTGCCAGACAGAATTTTAGTACGTTGTCTTTTTGAGTTTTTGTTGTATTGGTTGTGCTTTGATGGCGTTAGCTTGTTTTTTGATACTTGTGCTTTTAATGGCTTTGGTTTTCAGTGCTTGTGGTTTTAATGGCTTTGGCTTTGTGTGCCTCTTGTTTTTAATGGCTTTGGTTTCCATTGCTGGTGGTTTTAGTGGCTTTGGCTTTGTGTGCTTGTGGTTTTAATGGCTTTGGTTTTCTGTGCTTGTGGTTCTAATGGATTTGGTTTCCAGGGCTTATTGTTTTAACGGCTTTGGTTTTGTGTGCCTGTGGTTTTAATGGCTTTGGTTTTCTGTGCTTGTGGTTCTAATGGATTTGGTTTCCAGTGCTTGTGGTTCTAATGGCTTTGTATTCCAGTGCCTGTGGTTTTAGTGACTTTGGTTTTCTGGGCTTGTGGTAGTAATGATTTTGGTTTCCAGTGCTTGTGGTTTTAATGACTTTGGTTTCCATTGCTTACGGTTTTAATGACTTTGGATTCCAGCGCTTGTGGTTTTAATGAATTTGGTTTCCATTGCTTGTGGTTTTAATGAATTTGGTTTCCATTGCTTGTGGTTTTAATGGCTTTGGTTTTTAGTGCTTGCGGTTTTAATCACTCTGGTTTCCATTGCTTGTGGTTTTAATGACTTTGGTTTCCATTGCTTGTAGTTTTAATGGCTTTGTTTTCCATTGCTTGTGGTTTTAATGGCTTTGGTTTCCATTGCTTGTGGTTTTAATGGCTTTTTTCCCATTGCTTGTAGTTTTAATGGCTTTGTTTTCCATTGCTTGTGCTTTTAATGGCTTTGGATTCTATTGCTTGTGGTTTTAATGGCTTCAGTTTTCAAGGCTTGGGGACTCTTGTTCAGGACCTCCTCCCTCAGATAGCACGATGCTGTGAACTGTATTTACACACTGACTTCCCTCGCCTCTTACAGGAGAACCCCTACATGATGCGCCGCTCAAACTACCAGGAGCTCTCTGGAACAGAGCAGTACGAGGGCTTCTGCGTGGACATGCTTCACGAGCTCGCCGACATCCTTAAGTTCCGCTTCCAGATTAAGCTGGTGGAGGACGGACTCTATGGGGCACCTGAGCCCAACGGATCTTGGACCGGCATGGTGGGAGAGCTCATCAATAGGGTATGGATGTTGGGGAGATGCCTCCGGGGCTTATCACTGAGCTAGGGTTGCCTACCCTCAGGTGGTGGCTGGAGATCTCCTGGGAGTGCAGCTGAGCTCCAGGCCTCAGGGATCAGTTAACCTGGAGAAAATGGCTGCTTATACCCCATTGAAGTCCCTCCCCACCCCAAGTCCCACCCTCCTCAGGCTCCAGGTATTTCCAGGTATTTCCAAATCCAGGTATTTCCAAATCCAGAGCGGTACCCTTGGCATAACCGTGTAGCCTCATGGTGAAACCAAATGTGATGCTGGAAGCTGTGTTATCAAATCTCCAGTGCCTTTTACCTTTATAGACATTTTATTTCATTATTTACTATTCTTCATTTCCCCTGGGGGACGAACATCATTAGAACATAAGAACGCTAGAACAGCCCTGCTGGATCAGACCAGATGTCCATCTAGTCCAGCATCCTGTCTCACACGGTGGCCAACCAGTTCCTCTGGAGGTCTGGCAGCAGGGCAGAGAGGCTGTGGCCTTCCTAAGAACCTAAGAAGAGCCCTGCTGGATCAGACCATTAGTCCTTCTAGTCCAGCGTCCTGTCTCACACAGTGGCCAGCCAGTTCCTCTGGAGGACCAACGACAGGGCACAAAGGCCGAGGTCTTCATAAGAACATAAGAAGAGATCTGCTGGATCAGGCCAGTGGTCCCTCTAGTCCAGCATCCTGTCTCACATAGCAGCCAACCAGTTCCTCTAGAGGGCCAACAACAGGGCAGAGAGGCCGAGGCCTTCATAAGAACATAAGAAGAGCCCTGCTAGATCAGACCAATAGTCCATCTAGTCCAGCATCCTGTCTCACACAGTGGCCAGTCAGTTCCTCTGGAGGGACAACAACAGGGCACAGAAGCCAAGGCCTTCCCCTGATAAGAACGTCAGAAGAGCCCTGCTGGATCAGACCAGTAGTCCATCTGGTCCAGCATCCTGTCTCACACAGTGGGCAGCCAGTTCCTCTGGAGGACCAACAACAGGGCACAGAAGCCAAGGCCTTCCCCTGATAAGAACGTCAGAAGAGCCCTGCTGGATCAGACCAATAGTCCATCTAGTCCAGCATCCGGTCTCACACAGTGGCCAGTCAGTTCCTCTGGAGGTCCAACAACAGGGCACAGAAGCCAAGGCCTTCCCCTGATAAGAACGTCAGAAGAGCCCTGCTGGATCAGACCAATAGTCCATCTAGTCCAGCATCCGGTCTCACACAGTGGCCAGTCAGTTCCTCTGGAGGTCCAACAACAGGGCACAGAGGCCGAGTCCTTCCCCTGATGTTGCCTCCTGGCTCTGGGATTCAGAGGCTTGGGGCCTCTGAATGTGGAAGTTCCCCTCGGTCACCATGGCTACCGGCCACTGATAGGCTTATCCTCCATGAATCCATCTAATCCCCTATTCAAGCTGTTTATTCCTGTGGCCCGTCATTACCTCCCTGGCACCGAATTCCACGTTTCAATCACCTTCTGTGTAAAGTGGTGTTTCCTTTCGTCACTTCATTGTCGATTCCCCTGAAGTCGAGAAAGCAGCAAAGCCCTGCACGAACCGGGTCCACATATTTGAAGGATTCTGCTCCTTCCATTAATCCCTGGTCTCCAACTACGGTTGTCGAGCCACCGTTGTTGGATACCCCACTACTTAGGGTGGTCCATCCAGCATCAGCCAGAGCCCCGGCCTTTTCTGTTGTGGCCCCGGCTCTGTGGACGGGGCTCCCTGAAGTGGCGAGGGTAGTGGGGGGGGGACTTCTCTGGGGGTCTTCATAAGGCCCTGCATTCTTTAAGAGGGGGAGGGAGAAAGTTGGCTTGGGCTCTACTGGTAGCAGGAGCTCCTTTGCATATTAGGCCACACCCCCTAGTGTAGCCAATCCTCCAAGAGCTTACAGTAGCCCCAGTAAGAAGAGCTCTGTAAGCTCTTGGAGGATAGGCTACACTAGGGGGTGTGGCCTAATATGCAAAGGAGCTCCTGCTACCAGTAGAGCCCTGGCGCTTCGCTATTTTAATTTTTGTTTTTAACTGAAAATAGTTTTGATTGTTCTTGTCCGCCACCATGAACCGTGCGGAAAGGGTGGATAGAAAGGTTTTAATAAAGAAAGAAAGGAGGAAGGATTTAGACCTACCAACTCTGTTTCCGGAACAAATTGGTAAAAAGCCCCAGTACCATCTTTAAGGCTGCGGTCACACACACTGAATAATCCACTTTCAATGCACTTTCAAACGGAATTTTAGCGTGTGCAGAATCCAGTTTAAAAGTGCACTGAAAGTGGATTGAAAGTGGGTTATTTCGTGTCTGTGATCGCAGCCTAAGACTAACAAACTTTATTGTAGCATCAGCTTTCGTGAAACACAGCTCTCTTCATCAGATGCATGGGAGGGTATGAAGAAACTGGCCAGAGATATATAGGTGGTAAGGGGAGGGGGGAGAGGATGCAGAAAGTGCCATGTACCCGCTCTCCCCCCCCCTCCTTACCACCTATATATCTCTGGTCAGTTTCTTCATACCCTCCCATGCATCTGATGAAGAGAGCTGTGTTTCACAAAAGCTTATGCTAGAATGAAGTTTGTTAGTCTTAAAGGTGCTACTGGGGCTTTTTACTATTTTGCAGTAACAGACCTAACAAGGCTAACTCATCCGGATTGGTACAAATTGGGGCATCTCACAGATGCTGAGGAATTTCACATTACCCTTTTTAACCTGTTTTGAAGCCGTTTTTGATCTGTTGTGGAGTAAACCGGTATAGGGCTGCCATTTCACACATGGCTTTCCCCTTCCGGTAAAGAGCTGGATCTGAAGCGGTTTGCCATTTCAGACTGCACCGCTTTTTCCCCGCCGTTTTTCGCCTGCGCGGGCGATCTCCGGCTTTTTTGTTGTTGTTGTTGAAGAACGTTTACTTTATAGCGCTATAGGACTATAACAAAACACTCCAGGCATTCCAATGGCATTGATATACTGCTGTTCCGTCATAGCGCTATAGCGCTATAAAGTGAATGTTCCCCCCCCCCAAAAAAAAGCCGGAGATCGCCCACGCGGGCGAAAAACGGTGGGGAAAAGCACATCGGAACTGAAGACTACTTGGAAGCGGTTGACAGGTAAAACGCTTCTGTCCTAAACGGGACAGAAGCGTTTGTGTCTGAAATTACAAATATATCCCGGTAGGGAACCGGTTCTAAAACGGTTCTGTCTGAAATGACAGACCAGAAACCATTTGGGAACCATTGCTCTTTCGGATTATATCGTCTGTCTGAAATTCCTTGCTGTTTACATAGGAGAAATACACTGGAGATCTGATCTTCCAGAGTCTTATCTGGTTCTACTCTGAATTGAATGCTGTGTCTCCGTGTATGGAAACAGTATGATTCCCTCCTCCTCCTCCTCCTCCTCCTCTTCCCTCCCCAAACCCTGCCATCTCCAGGCTCCACCCCCTCCGCAAATCTCCAGGAATTCCCCAACCAGGAGATGGCAAGCCCAGGAAGAGTGGATTGTGTGCAAACCTCAACATTTGGGGAGGAGGAGACCAAGAAGGCGTCTTTTAACTCCAAGTCCACAAGCTATTTTAGCATGGGCTGGAAAACTATAGAAAGATATAATGGACTGTAAGAAGAATATCCAGCTGTTGTCGTTCTGGATCTTCCAACTAGAAACTGACGCCAAGTTCTCCACTTTTCAGTTGAGTGTTTCAGTCCTCCAGGCCCCTAGGGGGTAGTAGAGGAACAAAATCATAGCCGTGTTGCTCTCTCCCTGCATGAGCGCACAATAATATTTATCCATTCCATGTGAAAGTATTACAGGGATTTCTAACCCCTGTAAAATAAATGCATAAAGTAAAAGGTAAAGGTTCCCTTGCTCGAAAGCCAGTCGACTCCGACTCTAGGGTTGCGGTGCTCATCTCCGTTTCGAAGCCGAAGAGCCAGCGCTGTCCGAAGACGTTTCCGTGGTCATGTGGCCGGCATGACTAAACACCAAGGCGCACGGAACGCTGTTCCCTTCCCACCGAAGCGGTACCTATTTATCTACTTGCAATTTCTTGCTTTCGAACTGCTAGGTTGGCAGGAGCCGGAACTAGAGACGGAAGCTCACTCCATCATGCGGCACACTCGGGTCTCGAACTGCTGAACTACCGACCTTCCACAGCCTGCAGTTCAGCGTCTTGACCACTTGAGCCACCGCAGCTCCTAAAATAAATGCATAAACTTGCCCTAATTTTTCAATGCAGAAGGAATGAGGTCAGAGCCTGTATAAGGTGAATAGACACCTGCAGCCACAGAGGCAGGGTTGCCAGCCTCCAGGCAGTGACTGGAGATCTCCTGGGATGATTGACAACTGATCTCCAGACAGCACAGATCAGCTCACCCGGAGAATACGGCCGCTTTGGAAGGTGGATTCTGTGGCTTTCTACCCCATTGAAGCCCCTCCCTGAACCCCGCCCTCCTCTGGCTCCACCCCCAAAATCTCCGAGTATTTCCCAACTCGGAGCTGCCTACCCTACACCAAGGGGTTTGGATACTTCAGTGTCTGGATTACGGTGACCAGGTCCCCCCATGGTCACTGGCAGAGAACAGGTAGCGTTGAGTTGCCAGATCCAGGCCGAGAAATTCCTGGAGATTTAGAGGTGGAACCTGGGGAGGACAAGAGACCTCAGCAGGATACAATTCTAGTTTGAGAGCCGATTCGGTGTTGTGGTTAGGAGCGCGGACTCTAATCTGGGAGAACTGGGTTTGATTCCCCACTCCTCCACATGCAGCTGCTGGGTGACCTTGGGTCAGTCATAAGTTCTCTCAGAGCTGTTCTCTCAAGAGCAATCCTCTCAAGAGCTCTCTTAGCCTCACCTCACGTGGTGTCTTTCGTTGGGAGGAGAAGGGAAAGGAGATGGTAAGCCGCACGGAGACTCCTTCGGGTAGCGAAGGGCGGGGTATAAATCCAATCTCCTCCTCCTTCTCCTCTTGTCCCGTAGTTCCTCATAACAGGGGCAGTGGAAAAAGACATGTCCCAGCAATTCCACTACACCTGGTCCTCCACATGCACCTGCTGGTGTGACCTCTCAGAGCTGTCCTCTCAAGGGCCGTCCTCGAGAGAGCTCTGTCAGCCCCACTGACCTCACAGGGTGTCTGCTGTGAGGAGGGGAAGGGAAAGGAGATTGTAAGCCGCTCTGAGACGCCTTCGGGTAGTGAAGGGTGGGGTATAAATCCAATCTCCTCCTCCTCCTCCTTCTTCTATAATGCCATAGAGTCTCCAAAGCCTCCATTTTCTCCAGGGGAACTGATCTCTGTAGTCATTCTGGGAGATCCCCAGGTTCCACCTGCAGGCTGGCATCCCTAGTCTGTATGTGTGAAGTTTGGTGATCTTCCCACTGCAAACACCTGCCTGGCCCTCCTGAACCAAAGCCGCACATTTCTCCAAGGCTCCTTTGCACAGTTTACGAGCGTCTTCCCCTCCTCCTCCTCCTCCTCCTCTTCTTCTTCTTCTTCTTCTTCTTCTTCTTCTTCTTCTTCTTCTTCTTCTTCTTCTTCTTCTTCTTCTTCTT